TTCCTGTGAAAATTAAATGAAGAATCTAGGTTTTGGAGTCAGAAAGACCTGGGATTAAGTCCCAGATCTTCCATTTATAAGCTATGCAACTTTAAATCTTAGTTTCCTTATTTCTATAATGGGTTAATAATAGTTACTAGCTCATAAAAGTTCACATAGTGTTGGAAGAATTAAATAATGTTTATAAAGTTCTCTAGAAACATAATGAGCCTCAGTTAACATTTATATTGTCACTTATGCTTCCCTATGCCTAGAATTATACACATACAAACACCTGTGGATATCCCAGGACATGGCCAAGTCAAGTTAAAGTCCAACTTTAGGCAAAAGCAATATGGAATATTAGATTAAGGGAATGAATTAAGCAGAAGTCTGGGTATTACCATAAATCGGTTTTCTGTCTATAAAATGACAGAAGAAGACCAAGTACTTCCTAAGGTCTTTTTCAATTTAATTGCTCCTCCTTGCCTCTTTTGCTATAAATGATCTGACAGGCTGTGTACTTAATGTCTCAACCTGACTGATACTATTAATTTTTATAGGTATTTTATTAATTTCTGGTTTTACAACTAGGCACACTATGAACACCAAGATAAGTTGCTCACCTAACCTAACAAAAAGGAATGAGGCTGCCCTTTAAATAGTTATAAAACATGAAATCAATATGGTTTATGATAAGAAATATCAGTGATACAAAACCATCTTAAAAAGAAAGAATGAATTGCAGCTTTACAGAACTACTAAGACGTTCAGAAATCTGACTAAAAGGCAAATAACAAAAGAAGTTAATTAGACTGGTGGAATAGCTCAAGAGGTAAGAGCACCTGCCTAGCAAGTGTGAGGCCCTGAGTTCAAACCCCAGTACTGCAAAAAACAAAAAACCAAAAGAAGTTAATTAAACTAAAGATACATGTCATTTCAATGGAAGGCTGACCAGTTCTGGGAGCAGAGATACCAGTACTCTTCATTTCAACTTTGTGATTCCAATGACAGGCTTTCCTTGGAACCATACTCCCATGGATACCAAGGGTCTACTGTATATGCATTATGTAAACTTACCCTAAAGAACAGACTTGTGTACATTCCTCCAGATAAAGTCACTCTGTGAGGCTCCTTAAAAGATAAGATAATCATGGAATTTCCCACGTGAAACATCTGGAGACTACAAAGTTCTACAAGAAAGAGGTAATACTTCTTTAGATCCCCTATCTAAGGCCAACTACACTACCTGGCACACAAAAGAGCTTGCTAGTAAGTGCTTCTCTAAAAGCTACTGCACTTGCATAATGTAATATTCCAATCCTATAGTAGTATCATTTAAAATATTTCCTTCTGAAAAAAATAAAACAACACACTTCCTTTTGGACACATGACCAATGGTATGTTAAGAAAGGGAAGGGAAGGGAAGACCGAGCTAGAAAACTAGTAAAGACTAAAAAGGGACACAAAGCAAAATCACATAGCTAAAAGTTTCTTTCACTAAGGCTGGCTATACTTCCTGGATTTTGTGACTGATTTTAAAGTCTCCTTTATTTGAATCCAGAGCCAAGAAGGTGTGATCCAAATACATATTTCTTATCCATGGTGTGAGAAATTGGCAATTTGATAGCAGTGCCTGATATAAGGTAACCTGAGAAGTAAAGTTACCTAATATATAGAGTACTGACTCCCACGCTAGTCTCTTGGTATCATTTATTAGCATAGAATGACATAAACCAAGTAGAAGGATGCTCATAAGGCTGTGGACTACTTTTTGAATAGTCCTATACTCTCTCAGAGAAAAGGCTGGTGACAAGAAGTAATAATTAGAGTCAGTCATTCATTCTAAAAAATTTATTAAAACTTCTACTCAGAGCCTATGTTAGAATTTGGGGATAAAGATGTCAAGAGACAATGTCCCTTGCCTTCAGAGAGTCTGTAGATTCAGAAAGTAAATGAAAGCAGTCATATGTTGAATTTAAGGAATTTTAGGAATGCAAGGATTCTGTCTTTCTTTTCGGGTCTGAGATTACTAAATAGCATAGGGCAGTGATCCAACATTGAGCCTCAAAGTTCTTATTGGAATATAGCTTCCTTACATGTAATGGCATGGCAGATCAAATAACAGTAATCATTTTTATTTGCAAAGCACATTACAATTTTCAAAGTACTTTCACATTCATTATCTAAATCCATCCTATGAAATATGAAAGGACCATTAGGTCTTTTTCTATAAGAAATCAATGCTTAGAGCAGTGACTCACCCTATTAATTAACAGAAACCTAGATTTTTAAATTTTCAGCTTGATGTTCATTTTTATATCATCATGCTCCTTTGTCACCCAAATTTTAAAAGAAAAGCCAAATGACTCATTTATAACCATAAGAAATGTCTATATTTCCAGCTTCTATAAAATAGTATCAATAATGTACACATTTATTTTTATTTTTGGAGGTCTGAGGATTGAACCCAATTGTGTGCATTCAATAAAGACATATTTAGTTTTTCTTCAACCTAAAATGGGAAAATTATGCAACAATAAATACTTTACTCCCCCAAATCTGCTCATATAACAATAAATTTTGATTTTTCAAATAATTTATTTCACAAATCTGTTATGATACAGAAACACATAGTGAAATCACTATATTTCCTATAAAGTCAATGAGCAAATTTTTCAAACAAGCCTTTGAAAAGCTGAAGAAAGACTCCCCCAAACCATTCCATCATCTGTGAGCCTGCAAGCCTATTGCTTCATTTTCAAGTTTGCAGAGAGAGACAATGCATTCATAGCATGAAAATTCAAGTTTTTCCAATTCTTAAAATACTGAGACAAATTATTCAAGTACCAAGGAAAAGCCATTATAAAAGGCTCAAAAATTTATCCAGCAATAAAGCTTAAAGAAAACCTTTCCCAACGCAGGATTTTAAGTAAGAGGCAGCAGGTCCATGAAAAATTCAAATATCTATTTTGGTGAATGACACCATTCCCTCTAAAATGGAGCACTAGTCCATTTGTAAGTACTTTTATACTTCTAAGAGGCAAAACAAAAAAACAAAACAAAAAACCTTAATTGAAATCACTGCATAAAAACACACAACTCATTTATAAACAAAACAATTTGCCTAATCTTGCTTGAAAATTTACTATGAAATAATTTCAACATAATCTCTATAAGCATATGCATCTGACACTATTCATATACCATATAAAGTTAAATGAGCTATTCAAGTCTAAAGATGTACTTTTTTTCTTATTCTGAACTAGCCATCATCAAATGTTGCATTGAATATGCCAGGATGAAAAGATTAAACACAAACTCTCCAAACAAATCATGCAGAGAATGGTTCTGTCCACTGAAGATTGTATAACTGTGTCCCTGTCATTCCCCCCTTAAGCCCAACATTCACATACAATAAAATATAATAAAACAAAAGGCTGTAGGCAAAGAATGTGAGAATAATAGAATTAATACCTGGAAGAAAACTTTAGAGTTTGTTTATATAGCACAATGAAGAATGATAATCTGCAAAAGTATTTGCTGTTAAGAAAGCATCAGCTGGGGAGGATGACACCATTTTTCTTTAAAATTACTTTATCTACTTAATTTCTACTTTAGTTTGGGGGCAAAAACAAAAACATTTGGTATTAAGAGAAGAATGAAAACATCCATTAACAAAAGATCCTACTGAAAGAATTGTCTTTTCAGTCATTAAAAAAAAAAAAGCTCGATTAGCCCTTACCAGAATAATGAAAACAGATGGATTTTTCCAACCTAATAAGATGACACCCTATTGGAGGATAAAATCAAAAGGGCCCAGCTCTTTTTAAAAGCAAAATTTGTCCATTTAAAAAATGTAAAACTTTTGCTGCCAATTTAAACATGAAATTTCTATGACAATTAAGTCTTTAAAGATTCCTATACTTGCTAAAATGAAAATTTATATACAAACTGCAAATCTGAGATTACAGTCTCTATAGCATAAATGAAAAAAATAATTTTTTAGATCTGTAATAAAGGGGTAAATATACAACATAACATTTTTCATAATCAAAAAGGTTTTTCTATTTGAAATGGCAATTTAACAAAGCAATTTCTAACCTGGCAATTTCAATATGAGCTCTAAATTTTCAAATAGCTTTTGGGATGAACTCAGAATCTGAAATTTGAAGATTTATATAATACTTAAGTCACTTAAAATAAAAAAGTTTAAAATAAAAGACATTTTAGGTTAAAATCAAATCTATGTCTAAAACCTAAAAGTGGAATAGGCTGGGAATGTAGCTCAGTGGTAGAGCACTTGCCTAGGATGTTCAAGGCCTGAGTTCCAGGCAAAACCAAACAAAAATTTCTGTCCTTTATATACAAGGGGCATAAAGAACTTTAACATCATGATGGAAAGCCAAAGCATATTTGCCTGTTTTTATAAATATCCACATCCTTTCTTGGGTTTCTTCCATCTCCCTGAATATCACTGCTATACTCAGATTACATCTAGCCAAAGGCAGAGATTGGAAGAGTCTCCTGAAGATTTAAAAAAAATTAAAACCAGCAGAAAAGTAGAGGCAATTAATGTGTGGAGCTGCCAGAAATTCTTCTCTCCTTTTAAAAGAAATAAAGCTTTTGCTTAAAGATAATCATTTTAAAAACAAAATATAATACTACATACAAACACACACATTTCTAATAATAATCCTACAGAACAATAATAAAATTCTATAGATTTTGCTAGTACTTTGGAAAAACAAAAACAAACTGGTAAGGAAAAGCTATATGTTAAAGGATTTTTTTTTTTCCAGGAAGAGAACAGCAATAAAGAGACAGATTAACAAGTATTTTCCTTTCACCCCTTCAAAGTAGAATCCTTCCTTTTCAAAATGAATTAGTTGCTACTATATTAGTGGATTTTGTTTAGCCTCAAAGAAAACATCTCAACTCCCTGTTTTAAAAAATCAATTAGTATATTTCAGTATATCTATCTATCTATCATCTATATCCCTATGTATTTTTGGGGGGTGCTGGGGATAGAACACAGAGCTTTGTGGATGCAAAGCATGCACTCTACCACTGAGATATGTATCTCTACCAACAGTATATTTTTTCTGACTCAGCTGTTTTTCTGATACCTTTCTCCTTAATGTTCTAATATTTCAAAAATCTTTGGATAAAAACAGGTAACACTAAAGTCACATTTTTATATATCTTCACCATTATAAATAGACAGCTATCAGTCTATCATTAAATTGTTTTTCACTTATTTAAACACAGTTTGTTACAGAAGTGAAACTTAATCCAATTATTCTCAGTATATTCAAACACACAGGCACAGGAAAAAGTATTGCAACACAATCACTTCTATGCACACATATCTTTAGATTTCTGGGAAGCATAGCACAAAATGTAGCTCAGCTTTTTATAAAATTGTATTACTTGACTTCATTTTTGCTTCACAGTCCTTTGCAAAATTCTAAAAGTTATGTTCATTATTCTCCCTGTTAAGAATTCTCTTAAGAGACTACAACAGAAAACATTTAGGTACCTCAATGACAGTGTTGAAACTTGCAGTGTACTTATATTTTGGCATAGATAAAAAATAAAAATCCTGTTAATTCACCAGTATATTTTAATGTTCTCTGTTAAAAGATATCAATTGCCCATGAACTCTAAATAACTGGGAAAATCCAGAAAAGCAACAAGAAAATGATGACTTTTTAAAATACTGACGCTTTTCACACCAGGTTCAGTCATGCCAGCTAGAGAAAGGTGTTAGATATGGCTTTATTCCTTTTAAATGTGAGAACTGTAGTCATTTCCATGACATTTCAAAAACTGGAATCAAGAGCAATTTTTCTTCATGATCCTGATTCTTGTGATTCAAAATCATGTTCAGAAAATCATTTCTATAACCTTAGAAGGTATTTGGATAGACTGCATGCTACTATTTAGAGCCAAATAATACTGTCCCAGACTTCCTAGTGAACTAGGGCTACAAAGAGATAACAAGGGAAAAATAAAGCTAAAATACCTCCCCCTCCCCCAAGTGACTGAGTATCTGAGCTACTTCAGACATGACATCTATTAAGGGGGCCTTTGCTCCTAACTGTATAAGGGTCCTTGGCTGTAGTCTGACTTGCACAAGAAGCACACACAGCTCCTGAGAGGCGCTTCAGTCCCCTTTGGAAAACACTGTTGGACAGACTGTAAATGATACAGTTGCAGAAACTGTTACTAATAGCAAGCCAGGTTGTTAAGAAGGATGCAAAGCGGTTGCTGTAGCCAGTGGAACTCTCCAACAAGAAGTAGATGATATATGGCAACCAGAGGATATAAAATACACTAGTGATTCGAAACAGGACCATGGCATAACGCTTATCAGGACAGGCCTGTACTTCCTCAGTCTCCCCACTCTGGCTGCTGAAGCGGGCTTGCCTTTCGCTGATTTCCTTTGTGTGCTGTTGGCAGATGCGGAAGATGTTGAAATAGGTGAAGCAGACAATGAGGGCTGCTGGGGCATATAACATCATCACGATGAACAAGGTGAAGTACGGGTCAGTGTGCCAGGACTCTGCACACCACTGAAAGACATCTCCATGATATCCAGGTTTGCCCCAGTGAAAAAAGGAAGGCAGGAAGACCAGGGTAGAGTACAACCAAATCAGGAAAATACACAGGCGTAGTCTCCAGGGTGTAACCAGAGTATTATAGCTTAAAGGCTTAGTGATGGCAATGTATCTATCAATGCTGATACAGGCCAGCGAGGCCATGGAGACACTCTTCAGAACTGATACTACAAAACCAAATATCTGGCAAGTCAAGGACTCCTCTACTGGAAGTGGGTAGTGGAGGAGTGATAAAGAAGGGACTAGACAGCTTACCCCTACCAAAAGGTCAGCATATGCCATTGTCTGGATAAAATAACTTGTAGTGTGATGGTTCAACAAAGGTGCACAGTGAAATACAAAAATCACAATGATGTTGCCAGAAATAATCAATACAGTTAGAAAGACAATAATCAGCACTTCCAAAAGGCAAAAACTGACAGTTCCCAAGTAGTCAAATGGCAAGAGGCAAAAAAGGTGGGTGCTCTGATTACCATCCAAGGTGGAGTTCATCTTGAGCTCAGGAGCGATCTCTTACTTCATGCTGCCGCTTGGCTGCTGCCAACATTTCAAAGGAGCAGCTGCTGTCATTGCGGTCAGCTTTGCATGTGAGTAATAATGCCAGAGGAGCCTTAGTCCCCAAGCTCCCGATGATGCTTCTCTGGTGCATTGCCTGCAGTGTAAATCCCCTTTAAATCCTTCTCGGAATAGGGAGAGCCAAAAGCAGTTGTCTGGCCAGTCCCAGATGAGGCCATAGTGCCAGATTCACCATACACATAGCACCAGGGAAGTAAGACAAACTCTGGGGACAATGTCTTCAGGCCAAGTGAGGGTAGGGGGAAGGGGCAGAAGGAGAGAGGAGATTAGGAGCTTCAGCAGGAGTTGTAATGAGTCTCCTCTGAACAGCTGATAGAAGAAAAGGAGAGAGTATTTTACATTTTGCATCCAGTGCCCTTATCAAAGAACCTAGCTAGCTCAGGCTGGCCTCAATCCTCCCACTCTACCCCTCCTGGTACCGTGATTTATGGCTATCTTCAGTAGCACCCTACATAACTGGTCTTTACAAAGGAGGAACAGCAACACCAAGCTTTCAAGATCAACATAAAAGAAAAGCAATCATAGATCGATCTACTCCCATTTTCTTTTATTTGACCCTTTTGGGGAAGAAAAGGAATGTGCTTACAGCAATTCGGAAAAGCATTCCACTACAATTACCACTAATAAAAATTAGCCAAGATAACTTGTTTTCTCCATGAAATCCAATGTAATATTTTACTTCTGAAAAAATTTTAATAGAATTTATCTGTTTAGCTCAATTTCAGAGTGTTACCTGCAATTCTGCATGCTGCAATCCAAACAAAGGCCACAATAAATCCTTAACAGAAAGCCTTGCAACGCAGGAATGTGCTTCAGCCAGAGTACTGCAGAACTGAGACACAGAGGGAGGGGATAAAGGAGTAGGAGGGGAAACAAGGAGAAGAGGGGGCTTGGGAAATGGAAGAAAGGGGGAAGGGAAAAACGCATGTGTGCACACACACACACTCAGACATCCTTCGTAGCTCATTAGAATTCATCACCAGAGGCGTCTCCCTAATTTCCACACTGCACAATGGGGGAATTACTTAGTATGCCTGCAGTGCGGCATTTGAAAGCTGTTTCCTCGTCTGTCTGGAATCCCCCTCTTTAGCAGATAAACAGAATCCAGGCTCTTTGCAAGGAAAAGGGGTAGTAACCAGAGCAAAGAGTCAGGAATTAGAATGATACACTGCCAGAGGGGCAATGGTGAGGGGAAATTCTTATTTTTGTGTAGTATGTTCCTAAGAACAAAGAACAGTATTAAAGAAAGAAAATGTGTTAATAGTAAGGCAACTGGGAGATCATAATTTTAGCTGCACAAGAAGTTCTAGCTAGAAGGCTAAATACTGAGCATTAGTTTTCTAATGATTCACTGGGAATTGACCAGCATGAAGAAACTTTAAAAATAGTTTTTCAAGAGAAAAATTTAAAAATTGCTTAATTTCATATTGGAAAAACAGTACACACATAGAGAAATTACATGGTTCCTGTTATTTGACACTATTTATAGTTATCTTTCTTTTTGGGGGATTTCTGTTTTGTTTTGTTTTCAGTGCTGGGGATTGAACCTAGGGTCTTGTGCACTCTAGGTAAGTTCTCTACCACTGAACTAGATTCCCAGCCCTCATTATCCTATAGTTTTGAGATATCATTTTTTGCTTTTACTCTGCTGAGAGCAGTACACAAGGATACAAACAAAAGTCAGAAAAATAAATGTACCCATTCCCACTACAACTTGAAAGTTACAGAAAATTTTCATACAAATATAGTCTTTGTCTATTTAAGACAATGCAAATTAGGATTATATTGTGCTTTTTTCAGGTAAAGTCATAAAATGATGACAATTTTCAGCTAACATGGAGTGGGATGCTAACAGGCATGTTGTAATTTTAGTATCTTTTCTCACTTTAGTTCAAGTGAGCTGAACTTTCAACTCACATTTCTAAATAAAATTTTGTATTCCCAGTAGAGTAAAAGAAGGTAAACACTGGTATGTAAAGCAGGTCTATGTACCTGAATAGAGATATATATCATGTAATCCAACTTTCATGTTTATTTGTTTCATACATATACTTTCTAATTGTAGCAAAAGACCACCTATAGCCAGAATTCAATGGACTGCATTTAAAACCTGAAGCACTGTGCTTATTACATGAAAGCCAGCAACTAAAAAACCTATTTGAGTATAAGGCTGCTAGCATTATTTGACAGGCCTACTGGAAAACATGGCATAGTGTGGCCTCACTAAAAAGACTGATAGCATTAAAGGGACATCCATCTGGTTCAAATCCTTGCTCTGATTTTACTTAGCATTTTTAACCTCAGTTTCATTATCTGTAAAATGAGAATAATACTCTCTACTACTTCACAGGGTTATTAGGAAATAGAGCTGGTGTACACAAGAAGCTTATCAACACCCAGACATAGGGGCATGTAACTTTATTTTTTTCTCATACATCAAAAATATCCTTCCTAAAGAACCGGTGTTTTCACACCAATCATACTGAATTACTTGAGGGTGGGCTCCTCTCTTACTGTGACGGCATAGTTCTCAAGCACAAAATTGCTATTCTCTGGATACAATACTGTCATGTACTACTAAAATACATCAAGGGGATGCATACGCAAGGAAAGTGAAGATACCTGGCGAGAAGGAAGGATGATATAACACGAATTATTCCCCGAACACAAATACTCGCTCTGCCTAGGTCTCCAGGCCTGACTTTACCCCTGGGCTCACTCTTCCATTTTCAATTTGCCTGTTAGACTCACATCTTTAATTTAGATGTCTTCAGAGATTTGATCTGCAATATGTTGAAAACTGAATACATTTTTAAAATATCATATAAGCCTCATATTTTCCCAACACCTTTTTAGGCACTTTGGTGTAAGATTAAGGAATCATCATGACTGTATTCTCCCTCAATGCAATGTTCTTAGTCACTAAATGCCAGGAGTCTATTTCTAGAATGGTTATGTCATTCCCTCCTTTTGGCTTTTAGTTTATGCCATCATTATCATCTGAGTTTCTGGTTTTGTTACTTTTCCTAATTTATTTATTTCTCCCTGATAATATATTCAAAGGTATAAATTCTGCTATGGTATTTTATTATCTCCAAAGAGTCAAAGGCTACCTATTGCCCTTCCAATCACCTTGCCCTCCAACAAATCAGGTTACTTACTCTTCTGTATACTTGCCATAAATTTTATTTTTGAACCCCCCACCTATTGAGTGCTTATTGAATGAACAAAAGATTCATCGAACAATGATTTCTGAGAGTTACTATTTTAAAAAGTAAAGAGTACAGGCTTTTCAACTACTTGTGAATTTTGGTATGTAACTTATTCTCATTACATCTCAGCTTCTCTTGAATACAATTAGAGAATTATGCTGATAAAAAAAGATACCACATTGGCCAATAACTTCAAGGAATTAAAAACATAATACAATAAAACTATAAGCTGTTATTATCAGTACAGTAACAGTTCTTTCAGCTTTTTCTATTTTAGTAAAACCACTCTAGGAACTACAATTAAAATATAGGAAACTTTATTAAAAAGGGCAGACAGTCACATGTAGACAAATCAAACAAGCCTTATTTTGTTTTGAACTAAAGAAAAGCATTTTCTTCCAAAGAGAAACATTGTCAGTGACTTGCAGAAGTAAATTTATATCCTCACAAAAATGTAAACATATATTTCTTCAGTTAAATATACATACATACATACATATGTATGTATGTATGTATGTTTTTTAAGGCAGAGTAACCATTTGTGTGTATTTCCTTCCTTGTGGAAGGAAAAAAGAAATCAGTTGTACTTATTGGATGGTGGGATTACAAATGACTTTAAAATTTTTCTTATGTATAGCTTTCTATATACTGTTTTTATAGCAAGGAAGAGAGGGGGAAAAACAGTCAAAATAAGATTGCTGGTAACAACAACAAAAAAAACACTGGCTATAAGATGTCCTCCCATATTGATTTGGCAAGAAAGATGATGCCAGGTTTAAGGTGCCTACTTCAAGGAACTCAATTCTACTTGTTCTGATGCGATTACAGCAACAATTCTTCAGACAGTCTTTGGCATTCAATCTAAATCATAACACCAGTTAAAATTTCTTATAGATACAAGAATATAACAAGATGAACTATATGAACTTGCTAGTGCTTAACCATTTCATTTCAGCTGAGGTGTTTTCTGACCTGTAGAAAAGACATTGATTTGAGGCAACATGATAAAGTAGGTAAAAATAATAAAATGAAATTTAAGAAATGACAGAAGTAACAAGGAAACAAGGCAGAAGAGAAAGGAAACATGAAACAAACCAAAGGAAAATACTTCAAATTATATGTTATTCTCCGAACCCATTCAGAGGCTTAACTTCTATAGATGAAATAAAATCAATGTCAGATATTCAAATTCATAAAGTACAATTCTTAGCATTCTCTATCACTTATTATTTGTAAAAATGAGCTTTAAATATTGACTGATTAACATATTATTTAGTGCAGCTGATGTGGGTTTATTTATATCACTGTCATTCAAAAATGATTAGTGGTATTTTGACTCATTTTCTTCCCTCTCCCACATTTATTCAAACACTAAGCAAGTGCTAAGGATTCTATTGCTAAAATTCTCTCAAATAGTACAGTATTTCCCCTTTCTGTGATTTTACTTTCTGTGGTTTCAGTTGTCTAAGGTCAACTGCAACCTGAAAATATGGAATGAAAAATTCCATATTTTCAGAGAGCCTTTGTTCATATAACTTTTATCAGTGTATTTTATAATTGTTCTTTTTTATATTACTTATTATTTAACCTCTTACTGTGCCTAAATTTAACTTTTATCATAGGTACATAAAGGAAAAAACAGTAAATATAGTGTTTGGTAATCTACAAAGTATCAGATATCTACTGGGGGGTCTTAGAGTGTATTCCCCATCAACTAAGGGGGGGAGGAGGGACACTTTGCTATTACTTCAATCCAAGTTACAATTATCTCTTGTCCAAATTATTAATAAGCTCCATACAATTAATCTTACTCCATTCAAAGCCAGGTAGCTCAAATAATTAAGCTACCTAAAACTAGTAACAAAAACAGTAATTAAGAAGTTATTTATATTTAATTTGATCTGCTATGAATTGTACTAAGTATTTTCATGTATTATCCAAGTTCATTCTAACAACCACACAAATAAGGTTCTGTTATTATTCCATTTTACAGATTAGGAAACCAAAGCTTAGGTATATTAAATTGCCCAATGGCAAATAGCTTAAATACAGTAGAATTAAGATTTGAATCAAGACAATCTGCTTTTAGACAGACATACTAATTCACTTTGTATAGTGCACATTGCTGAATGTATGACTTGCCTCCTTAAAATACTTCATCTGGGTTGGGGATATAGCTTTGTGACACAGCATTTGCCCAGCATGTTCAAGGCCCTAGGTTCAAGACCCAGCACTGCAAAAAAAATTAGACTTAAACAAAACAGAATAAAAGGCTTCAATTACATTCTATTGCCAGAAATCGTGATAAATTTTATGATGCGTTTTAAGATTTGGCCCCTCCCTACCTCTCCAGACTTATCTCTATTCATAATCTACAAAATTACCAAGATTTTTCTCACTGTTGAGCACATACTATTCTCTCTGATTTTTAACACCACACTTGCCACCTTACCCAAGCCCAACAGTCACGTCCTGGATAATTTTAGAACAAGAGACCTTTTAGAAAACGTAGGTGAAAAATTCTTCATGTCATCTGGACTGCAGCAATATGTATTCTTTCATCTAAAACGCCCAAGGAATTTTTTTGTGCTTGT